CTTTCTGATATCAACATTTCCTGCTAGATCAGCATCTACATAGCCTGTTAGTATTGTATCTCCACACGCAAGATTTACGTGGTTCGGCACAAAATTGCCTACGTCCACGGGTTGCTGCAGATCTTTCACTATTTGGGAGAAATTTTACAACAGTGAAATCACTGAAACTCCCAATAGCGGTACCATAGAACATTGGCCATAACTATTGATGGCAAGATTTCGATCCTTGGTTCATATTTTATGCTGACTTCTTGCCTGGGGATAATAGGGAGTTTTGTTCCAGGGAAGTGCAAGTCCTTTCTCTAACATGTTTTGTCCAAGTTTGGGATCTTTAATATCCGAGTCTTAGATGCTCATCGTTTTGCATAAGGATGAATGATCAATTCAACTAAGTTGATAACAAGATCTAGCTTGTTGCACTTCTCAAAAGTAACCTGACCTGCTTAATACTTCTCTTGGGACAATGTGATCCACAATTTCCATTAGCTAATTAATTAACAAAAAAAAACTTCCATTATCTAATTTTTTTATGAGAAAGAAATCAATTGTTCATTGGGTGTCTGCATCTTCAAGAAGTGTGGGTTCTCCTCTCAGCATGTTCAGTACCTTGGTGTGGGTGTACTTTGGAGACTTTGTTATTCTAGGTTTCTAATAATGAAAAGTTCTCATCAGTTAAGAGTTTTTATTCGAATCCTTTGGGTGACTAAGATGCAATAACATGAACTATAATCAAGAACCTATGTACTTTGGAGACTTAGCTATTCTAGATTTTAATAATGGGAAGTTCTCATTGGTCCTTAAGAGTTTTTATTGGAACCCTTGGTGACATAGATACAATATGAACTAAAACCCTAAATTGTTATACTACCTCAAGAACCTGTAGAAAAAAAAGGGGGAGAAAAAAGCAAATGGGACATTAAAGCTCATAAAAGTTTCATAAAAAACTCATAAAAGTTGTGGTGCTAAAAGTTCGTTGGCTGCAATTTTATTTGAAAGACAATTGCATTACCACTATTATTTCCTGAATAGTGACTTAGGTGAGCTACTCTTTAGTTGGCTGGAATGTACTGTGAAGTTTTAAGTGTGCGTCAGAAAATATAAGAAAGTATGACCGGCGTTCCAGGTCCATGAGTTGACCACTTTGGAAGCTTGATGATACTTACCTCAAAATTTCCAAATTCATTGTGATCAATTTGAAAGTTTACTCTTTTATTTATTTTTCCCTGGATCTACAACTTCTCTAGGCATTTGATGTGTGTATGTTGTGGTTTAGGTCACCTAAAAGACTGCACAGGCGTAAACCCACACAGATTGTTTCAAGCCCACTAGCTTCTCACATGAGTACTCTTTCTTTTTGACTGCAAACTTTTTCCCCCAATTTGAGATCTTTGGACACATTTTCCCTGGACTTTCCAGGATGACTGGTATCCATAATAGAATCATGTTTTCTTTTTCTGGTCTTGACTTTATGGCACCTCCCAAGTTGTTTTTGTTCATAAACCAACTTTGTTTCCTTGAAATCATTAGAAGACATGCAAGTAGGGGTGCATATGGTCTGGATACAGCTCGGATATGATACTTACCAGTATCTGTAGTCATGGATATAGATATGGATATGGATATGCGTTGTTAAGGAAAATTCCTATCCATATCCGCTAAAATTAGATACGAATATGCATCCGGATATATTGACGAGTATACATGCGGATACGTAATGGATATGAGAAAACTAGATAATATTGAAAAAATATGGTTCATATGGTACGAGAGAGTTCATTAGTATGTCATTATATCTGAAAAACTAAGATTAAATGTCTTAATTATCAAAATTAATCTCAAATCCATTAATTTAAGGATTAAAACTAGGGGTGCATTCGGTCCAGATTCGGCTCGGATATAGTACTTACCATATTCATATCCCCTTACCTATCACAGATACATATATAGATATACCTCAATAAGGAAAATACATGTCCATATCCACTAAAACTAGATACGGATACAAATATATATGCGGACTAATAAGATGATATGCATGCGGATAAAAACTACATATGGGAAAACTAAACAATATTGTAAAAATTACAGTTCATGTGATACAAAAGAATTCATTACTATGTTCGTTATATCTAAAAGGCTAAGATTAGACAACTTATCTACAGCATGACTAATGTCTATTCAGATTTTTCGTATATGGATCCTGATATTTCACTACAAAATCATATTTGTAACCATACCCTATCTATTTGAGTAACCATATACATATCCTGTATATCCTAAAGGATACAGTTACATATATTTTCTTGGATATGGATATGGTTTAGCATCCCTATTTAAAACTGTTGCAATAGTATGACCATATTTTGGATACGGATACGGTTCCGGATATTTCATTACATAACGTGATTAATGTATAATCGGATATTTTGGATACGGATACAGTATCAAATATTTCATTATATAACAATATCTGTAACCATATCCTATCAGTCATAGATTTTAGTAATCATATTCGTATCATAACGGATGTGGATACAGATGTTTCCTCGGCTACGAATATTTTAGTGCACCCTAACGTGCACGGGTGCAGATTATTCAAAGAAAATGGATGATTAAAGAAACTTAGATCCTTTATTTCATTTGGAAACACTAATCTCATTCCGAGGGATTTAGGAATTTTTGTTTCAGAAACAATCCTTAATTTATTTCGTTACCCCTGTGCCCTTATATGATCTTTGTGAAAACTAGTTGGACTTGCAGCCATAAACTTAACTACAAAGACTTGTCCCAATTATATAACTTGATTTATTAATTTTTCTTATTTCTTCTTCCTAACAAGGGAAACATTATATGGCCAATAAAGTCACTGGTCCCCTCGCAGGATGCGAATGAAGAGTGCATGCATTGCTGGTTTGAGCAACTAATTTGGTTATAACATGAGTTCTTCATAATTAAATAAATTCTACCACTAGAGAGGTGAAACATAAAGCATGAGTTATTTATAATTGGTTCTGACATTAAAGAGGTGCAGACTGGTCCAAGTTTACTTTTGAGTTTTAAATAAGCGGCCACGCTTTTATACAATGCCTTTGCTACCGTGCATGCGTGCATGCCATTTCATAATTTTAAAGAGGTGAAAATCAAAGCTTTAGTTATTTATAATTAGAAAATCTGACATTCAGGATGTGCAAATTTAGGCCCAGTTCACTTTTAATGAGCATACATGCCTTTGTACATGCAATTGCGAGCGAGCAAGCATGCAGCTTCATAATAGTAAAGAGGTGAAACCTAAAGCACGAGTTACTTGTAATTCAAGATCTGACATTAAGGAGGTTCATATTTAGTCCCATCTCAATTTGGATGAGCGTACATGTGCTTGTACATGCATTTGCTAGCATGCGTGTATGCGACTGCACCATTTCAAGGGGAATTTTCAGAAACCACCTGCACTTTGAGGTTTTTGCAGAAAACTCCGCTAACTTTGACAAAGTTCAAGAAAAACACGCATGAACTTTTGGGTGTTCCGTAAAACCCCCTAAACCTTCAAATTTCCCATGGCAGCCCAAACGGAGTTAGTGGTGTATGGTTAAAAGACCAGAATACCCTTTATAAAATTAACCTCCAATTTAATTAACTTCTAATTATGTTTAGAGAGAAGAGATGAGGATCTAGCGGGTCGCTAGCGAAGAAGAGCCAGTTGGGCCAGTGGTTAAATTTGCAAATAGAGTGCACTTGGGGTTTGTTAGAGAAGAGATGAGGATCTAGCGGGTCGCTAGCGAAGAAGAGCCAGTTGGGCCAGTGGTTAAATTTGCAAATAGAGTGCACTTGGGGTTTGTT